GAGTGGGCTTTCTGTATTCTTGTGGTCTGTGGTTCCTTTTTATTGTGGAGGTTTCACCCAGTGGGTGGGGTTGAAGCTTGTGTTAGGGAAGCTTGTGTCAGCGTTCTGGTGCATGGAATTGGATTTCTTCTCTCTGGAGTGCAATGGAGTGTCCAGTAATGAGTTTTGCAATGGGTCTATGTGTTAGGTGTGACTTTGGACAGCCTGTATGTTGACACTCAGGTCTATGTTCCTGCGTTGCTAAAGAATTTGCGTGGTATGTCTTGTACTGGAGCTTATTGGCTCTTGGGTGGTGGTTGGTTTTGGTGTAGGTATGGAGGCTTTTGGATGGTCTCTTATTCCTTAATGTTCCATGTAGTCAGGAGTTTTCTGGTTTTCTCAGGTTTTGGGCTTAAGTCTCCTGCCTCTGGATTTCAGTTTTATTCTTCCAATATTCTCAAGACTTCTCCAACTATACAGCACTGATAATAAAACTTCTAGGTTAATGGTGAAAAGATTCTCCACTGTGAGAGACAACCAGAGAGGTTCACAGAGTTACATGAAGAATAGGAGAGGGAGGAAGGAGATAGAGGTGAGCAGGAGGAGAAAAAGGGTATTCAAGAGGAGAGAGACAGATCTACGCAGTTATCTGTTCCCAAAGTGTTCCCCATAGCCCAGACACCCACAAAGATTCACAGAGTTGGATTGGGAAGAGAAGGGGAAAGGAGGAAATAGAGGTGTTCTGAGGTAGAAAACAGAGAGTCAAAAGTGGGAGAGTAATCACCACATCCTGAATAGAAATGAGAACTGAATATTGGATTCTTAAATGTCCAAAATTTATATCACATACTGAAAAACAGATTAAAAATCTAGTGTAGAGGTTAGACTCTTTGAAATACAATATTTAAAAACAAAAACACAAAAAAAATTTAGAAATGTATATGAAGTTCGGTTTAAAAATAGGGTTTCTCTCTTTTTTTTTTGACAAGGTTATAGTGAAATGAAAATGAAAATTAAGGAATAATAGAGGAGTATTAGAGGACTTTAAAAGGAAATAGGAGAGAAAAACAAGAAAAAGAAAAAAAAAGAAAAAAAATTTTTTCCCTAATTAAAAAAATCGTAAAAAATATATGAAAATGAAAGTTGAGGAGTAATGGGGGAGTAACAGGGAATTTTAAAAGAAAATAAAAGAGAAAAAATAAAAAAAAAAAAGGAAAGAAAAAAAAATTTTTTTTTTTAAATTAAAAAAAATATATACATATGTATCTAGGAATTTCTCTGGAGTTGTTGCGGTCAGTGTAGGTTCAGTTCAATTTCAGATAGCTCTTCTTTCCAGCTTACACTTCTCGATATCTATAGGCCCCTTCCGGTGTAGTCGGTGTTACCTTCAGGGATTTTAATCTGTTGCAATGGTCCTTTCTGAAGCGGTTCCCTTTGTTTATTTGGCTTCTATTTGCCGTCTCTTTGGTGTCTAATTTCCGCCCTGACACAGGCGGGCAGAGGTGATCTCTTATTTAGGTTCGCTAGTTCAGTTCAGTCCTGCTACGGGGAGGGCGGGGCGCTGCAGACAGATACCGCTCTGAGTGGAGGGCACTCACCGTGTTCCGGCCACACTGGGTTTGCCCCACTCACGGGTGTCAGTGCTTTTGCCATCTACACTGCTCAGGCTCCCGGCTGCTCTATATGGAGCGGGCCCTGCGTTGAGTGCGGTTCCAGTTTTCGGGTACTCCACAAAAGCGCAGATTCGGTTGCGCCTGCGTTTTGTGCCTTCCCCGGCCTGAGCGGTTCAGGCAGCCAGAGGCTTGGGCGTACTCTCCCTGGGTATGGTGCGCCTTTTCCCTCCGCGGCGGGCAGCTCAGGCAGCCAGAGGCTTGGGCGCAATCTCCCCGGGTACGGCGCGCTTTTTCCCTCCGCGGCCCCAGCGCGCGCCGCCAGTCGGGTCTCAGGAAGTCTTTAGATAAGAACCGGGGGCCTGTTTGCAGTGTGGGAGGGGGTGGCTTCTCAGGGGCTGAGTTCACCCTTTTCCCCTCCTCCCTGCCTCCTACCTCCAGCGGGGATGGGCCGGCTCTTCTCTGGAGTTTCTCAGTCCCTTTGTTTTGCGAACCGCCGGCAGTGTGTTCGGGCCAGTTAATTTTGACCCTTGCTATCCCACAGTTTAAAAAAGCTCCCTCCAATTGCTCTCAGGGTCTTCGGGCCGGTCCTTACCCTAAGCAATGCCGCCCACTCCTCTCCGTTCCGCCCCCGCTTTTTGCTGGCGGGTATGGGCGTCTGGGGTACTTTTCTGCTGGGAGTTGCTTTTAGGCACGTAATCTGTAGGCCTTGTTTAATTTTTCCTCCCAGTTAGATTGCCGAAAACTTCCCCCAGTCCTGCCAGTTTGAGGGTTTCCTGGTGATTGGAAACTTCCTCTATTAAGACTCCCTTCCCGGGAGGGGTCTCCGTCCCTAGCGCTTTTGACTCCCTTTTTATCTTTTATATTTTGCCCTACCTCCCTTTGAAGACAATGGGCTGCTTTTCTGGGCGCCTGATGTCCTCTGCTAGCGATCAGAAGTTGTTTTGTGAAATTTGCTCAGCGTTCAAATGTTCTTTCGATGAATTTGTAGGGGAGAAAGTGGTCTCCCCATCCTATTCCTCTGCCATCTTGGCTCCTCCCCCTCCTTTTTATTCTTAAATCTACGTTTCAATTAGAACAGCCATGAAGTACCAGGGGTCAGTCAACTATAGCCTGTGCAAAAATTCAGCCTACTACTTAACTTTTACATGGCCCATCAGTTGAGCATGGTTTTTGCATTTTTAAATGTTTGAAAACAAATCAAAAGAAGAGTAGTGTCTGATATGTGAAATTATATAAAATGCAAAATTTCTATGTCCACAAATATTGATTTAATCCAACAGTCATGCTCACTGGTTCATATATGGTCTAAAGTTATTTTCATCTATGATAGCAGAACTGAGTGGTTGCAATAGAGATTCCATGGTCCACAAAGCCTAAAATATTAACTACCTGGCTCAGTACAGAAAAAGTTAGCTAACCCCTAATACTGCTGCTGTTGTTCAGTCTCTCAGTCGTGTCCAACTCTTTGGGACCCTGCGGAGTGCAGCATACAAGGCTTCTCTGTCCTTCATCATCTCCGCAGTTTGCTCAAACTGATGTCCAACTGAGTCGATGATGCTGTCCATCCATCTCATCCTCTGTTGGCCCCCTTTCCGCCTGCCTTCCCAGCATCAGGGTCTCTTCCAATTAGTTGACTCTTCACATTAGCTGGCCAAAGTACTGGAGTTTCAGCTTCAGCATCAGTCCTTCCAATGAATATTCAGGACTGATTTCCTTTAGGATTAACTGGTTTGATCTCCCTGCAGTCTAAGGGACTCTCAAGAGTCTTCTCGAACACCACTGTTCAAAAGCATCAATTCTTCGATGCTCAGCTTTCTTTATGGTCCAACTCTCACATCTGTGCATGACTACTGGAAAACACACAACTCGGACTAGACGGAACTTGTCGGCAAAGTGATGTCTCGGCTTTTTAATATGCTGGCTAGGTTGGTCATAGCTTTTTTTCCAAGGAGCAAGCATCTTTTAATTTCATGGTTGCAGTCACCATCTGCAGTGATTCTGGAGCCTAAGAAAATAAAGTCCCTCACTGTTTCCATTTTTTCCCCATCTATTTGCCATGAAGTGACAGAACTGGATGCTATGACCTTAATTTTGTGAATGTTGAGCTTTAAATCAGCTTTCTCTCTTCTCTCACCTTTATCAAGAGGCTCTTCAATTCCTCTTAGTTTTCTGCTATTAGGGTGTTGTCCTCTGCATATCTGAAGTTATTGATAACATTATTATAATATCAATAACCTCTAATATAGCATATCACTAATTTGTACTTAAATTTATAAATATCTTGCCAACCTGAAATTCCTATAAATAACTAAATGAAGTACTCAGAATATCTCCATATATCAAATGAACTCACATACAAATATTTATAAGCACAGTGTCTACCAGAAGCTGTTGACAGAGAGTTGAACTGAAAGTTGAAGATTTTAAGTTTATGCCTGGTATTTAAATATCAACTCAGTAACTAATGTGAAAAGATTTAGTTATTTCTATTTCAAACACCTAAAGCTTTAGTTAACTCATTTCTTTCCATCCCTTACCACTCTGTCAGAAAAAGAATGTGCATAAAATATTTTATGCCTGAGGCTGCAAATGGGTGCTTGAGAATAGCAACTACTAGCTTAAAATTGCAACATTGTGTGCAAATTCTTAAAACATAACTCATCCATGCACCTGACCCTATCCACGTAACAAAGAAATACTCTTACCATTTAAGTGTCTAAGTTAAAAATATTTCCTATTACCTTTTTTGTTCCATATAAATACTTGATATAAACATATATGGGCTTCCCTGGTGGCTCAGATGGTAAAGAATCCACCTGCAATGCAGTGGCCCTGCAATGCAGGGTTCAATCCCTGGGTTGGGAAGATCCCCTGGAGAAAGGAATAGCTACCCACTCCTGCACTTATATATAGTATTATATATGTATAGTATTCTTGCCTGGAGAATTCCAAGGACAGAAGAGCCTGGTGGGCTACTACAGTCCATGAGGTTGCAAAGATGGAAACAACTGAGTGTCTAACACTCACTTTCATAAATGTATATATACTGGGTATGACTTCTTTCAGGCCAACAAGTAACTGTTTAGAAAATTATTATTCCAAGGCAATTACTGACAGCGTATGAGGTTTGAGAAAAGGATAAAATGCTCTCAAAAAAAGATGTCAAGTTGACATCTATAAAATACTTATAAATAGGAAAAGTATGCCAAAGAGTGATTTTACTTACATACCTAACGAATGTTGCTGATTATGAAATGTTTTAACTTAAAAAACATTGTTTACTGTATTCTTAAACTAAGTTACTATTACCAAATCTCCATCTGTCATATGTAACATTAACAAAAAACAATTTTATACTTCAGTCAATAGCATAACTTAATTTTATTTCTAGGTAATTATGAAACTCACACTGTCTTCCACGTCTCCAGTCTTCCAGCCTTTTAACAGCATTTTAGACATAGGTATCTGAAGTTCATTTTCTAAGATCTGTTTAATTTCTCCTGTACAAATAAGAAGAGAACAGATATTAATAACAAAATAATACAATCAATATTTATTCATATCCAAAGCTAGTACTAATATTAGGCATATGGTCCTCAAGTCAATGACATTTGTTTCATGAATGAATATGAAAAATTTCAGTAGCCCAAACTTCAAATCTTGATTATACAACATGATGCCCCATTGAAGAACTAACATTTCAACAGTATAATAAAAAAGTTAACAATTAATTAATTAAGCAGCTTTTAAAAAAGAAACAGATATCAGTGACGGGGTTTTGAATAGAAACTATTTCAAACCAACCAACAAACCAATATGTGATGAGCATATGGTGGGAGTAGTCAGTAAAGTATAAAACTTGAGGCATTATAGTATAAGGAAAGCAAATTGTTCAGTGCAATTTGGGGTTGAAGTCTTAGCTTAAAGAAATAAAATAACTTGTCTATTCTTAGTTTTTGTATCTGTAAAATGGGGAATAATATTGTCTATCTTATCTACCTCTAAGGTTCAAGAATAAGAAGAGACATGAAAGTAGCTGGAAAAAAAAAAAAAACCAACCAATGCATATACTCTAGAAGACAATTTAAACTGTCTTAAAGAGAAAAGGAACAGAATTTAAGAAAAGAAAAAAAAGTTATTTAAGATCAAATAGAGAAGGCTTTGTGAGACAGATGAAACTTAAACTCAGTTTCAATTGTAGCTGGATTAAAACCAAGCATGAAGTATATTAGAGTTGTGAAGGAGAACCAAATCAAAGGAAAGGATATGCTATTTGGTGAAGAAAAAGGCCAAAAGGTAAAAGCAAAAGTGAAAATGATGCTAATCAGAAACAGTAAGGAATCACAATTTTTCCAGTATGCTACAAAGTACTTTCCAGGAATCAAGTCTACTAATTAATTAATTAACTGGCTCATTTCTGGTTCTACAGTATAATAAACAGATCATTAAATCAGAATGTACAAATGTTTCATGTATATGCTTTTATTAGATTGGTTAATCTATATTTTAGATTAACATGTAATCCAATTCCATTTATAATAAGCGATTAAACACTACAGAAAATGATCATACTATACATTAAAAGAAAAGTAATTCCATGCTGATAAAGGAAAAGAAGGAAGGTGGAGCTTACCCTACATAAGTTATATGGAATCACAGTGGTCTAGGTAAGCAATGCTACAATCGAACCCTTCATGGCCTTCAGTTCAGTCAGTTCAGTCGCTCAGTCGTGTCCAACTCTTGGTGACCCATGAACCGCAGCAAGCTAGGCCTCCCTGTCCATCACCAACTCCCGGAGTTTACTCAAACTCATGTCCATTGAGTCGGTGATGCAATCCAACCATCTCATCCTCTGTCGTCCCCTTCTCCTCCTGCCCTCAATCTTTCCCAGCATCAGGGTCTTTCCAAATAAGTCAGCTCTTCGCATCAGGTGGCCAAAATATTGGAGTTTCAGCTTCAACATCAGTCCTTCCAAGGAACACCCAGGACTGATCTCCTCTAGGATGGACTGGTTGGATCTGCTTGCAGTCCAAGGGACTCTCAAGAGTCTTCTCCAACACCACAGTTCAAAAGCATCAATTCTTCGGCACTCAGCTTTCTTTATAGTCCAACTCTCACATCCATCCATGACTACTGGGAAAGTGTCCTTAGTGACTTTTTTTTTTTTTTTTTTTTTGCTTTCCTAAGAAAATTCTTATCTGGGCACTTTGGATAGTGATTAAATATCATAAAAAGAATTCTGATTCAACATTATCTTTTAGAAGCACAAAATACATCAACTTTGACCTTCAAAAATATCACTGTTGAAAAAGGATTGTTCTCTTCACAGAAATAAGAGAAAGGTGAGCTATATTTCTTATATGATTGTGATTGTGCTAAGTCACTCAGTTGTGTTCAATTCTTTGCAATCCCATGAACTGTAGCCCACTAGGCTCCTCTGTCCATGGAATTCTCTAGGCAAGGATACTGGAGTAGGTTGCCATTCTCTTCTCCGGGGGAGCTTCCTGACCCAGGGATTGAACCCAGGTCTCCTACATTACAGGCAGATGGCACTGCCACTATAGTACCCCTATATGTGAAAACTGTGACGATATGTAGATTTCATCAAGGAACACTCCACTGACTACCAAGCATATATCTGATATGGGTTTAATATCCAAAATATGTAAAGAACTCACATAACTCAATAACGAAAATCCCCAAATAATCCAACTAACACTGATTAGACAGCTTTCCAAAGAAGAAAAAAAATGGCCAAAAGGTACATGAAAAGATGCTCAATATCACTAAATACTACGGAAATACAAACAAAAAGCCATAATGAAGTATCATCTCACATCTGTTAGAATGGCTACCATCAAGAAGACAAGAGATAAGTGATGGTGAGGATATGAAGACAAGAGAACCATTGTGGGGTTGCTTCCTTTTATTCTTATTTTGCTGGGAGTTTAATTACTTAAAATTTTTTTAAAAATAAATGAAATTTTAAATGATTTTTAGTCACTAAGTCGTATCTTTTGCAACCACAAGGACTGTAGCCTGCCAAGCTCCTCTGTCCATGGGATTTCCCGGTCAAGATTACTAGAATGGGTTGCCATTTCCTTCTCCAGGAGATATTCCTGATGCGGGGATTGAACCTGTATCTCCTGTATTGGTGGTGGATTCTTTACCACTGAGTCACCAGAGAAGCCAAATATTGTTAAATATTGTCAAATGCTTTTCCCTCCATCTATTAAAATGATCAATATATTTTCTCTCATTCATTGTACTAATATGGCAAATTAATCATGGGATTTATATAAACTGTTAAACAAGCCTTGTATTCCTGAGTAAAGCCCACTTGACCATGAGGTATCATTATACATCTGTATTTTTTTTACATTTAATGAGTTCAATTTATAAATATTTATAAAGGATTTCTGCCTCTAGACTTTAAGAAATATCAGTCTATAATAGTTTCCTTTTCCTATGTCTTTGGTTTTAGTATCAGGGTTAATTCTGATTTACATAAAATAAATTAGGTAATAGTTCATCTTTCTCTATTTGTGAATGATTTCTAACACTTCTTCCTTAAATATTAGACAGACTCTACCAGTGAATCCATCTGGGCTTGGGGTTTGTTTGTTTGTTTGTTTGTCTGGAGGAGGAGGAAGCGGGGAAGGGAGCAGGGAAGGCTTTGATTGTTATAGCTTTATATATTAGACATAGAGCAATTAAGATTTTAAATTTTTTCTCTGTCAGTTGTGGTAACTTACACCTTTAAAATAATTTTTCCAGCTTTTAAAGTGTTATTTTCTAGCATGAATCTATTCTTAATGTTGCCTTATAACCCATTTAATGTTTGTAGGTACCTTTCATTCTCAATATGATTAACTTGTGTTTTCTCTCTTGTTCTTATTCGCATTAATAAGAGAATTACCACCTTTATTGATCTTTTCAAAAAAAAAAAGCTTTAGGTTGTGTTCATTTTGTTCATTTTCTCTATAATGTTTATCCATATTCTGCTTTATTGATTTTTATGCCTGTGTCTATCTATGTATACGTTTTTCCTTCCATACTTACTTAGGGTTTGACTTGCTCTTTTCAAAAAAATTTAAGTGTTATTATGATTGGTAAAAAACAAAATACACATATTCACAATCTGTGATTTGGTAAGTTTTAACAAATATATAAAGCAGTGAAACCATCATCATAATCAAGATTATTAATTTATTCAGCAACCCTAAAAAGTTTTCTTATACACCTTGTTAACTCTTCCACACTACCCCTTTCCATATCCTCAGGGAACCAGTGATTTGATTTTGGTGATTATGAATTGGTTCAAATTATCTAGAATTTAAGATAAAAAGAATTTCAGAATATACTTTTAAAATATGGCTTTCATTCAAAATACATTGTCTGAGATTCTTCCACATTGTTACATGTAATGACAATCTGTTTCTTTTATTACTAAATAGTATTCCATTGTATAAATGTAAATAATTTGTTTATCCATTCACTGGTTTATGGACATTTGTTGTTTTCCACAATTTGAGAGTACAAATAAATATTTGAGGTTACAAATAACATACATGTCTTTGATGGGACATATTATTTCATCTCTCTTGGGTAAATACCTAAGAGAATAGTCAGTGTATTTTTAACTCTGTAGCAAAGAGTCAAACACTTTTCCAAACTGGGTTTTACTGTGATGTCTTCAAATTCACTAATCTTTTCTTCTTCAGTGTCTAATCTTCTGTTAATCCTACTTTATACATTTTTCATATCAGACATCATATCATGGTCTTAACCTCTAGACATTCAATTTGGGCTATTTTTACATTTTCAGTCATTTATGATTTGAAATCTTTTCTCTCTCTTTCTGAACTTAAGTAAGAGTTATAATAATTGTTTTAATGTCCTTATTAGATAATTTCAACATCTATGTCAATTCCAGGTTGTTTTTGGTTAACTGATTTTCTTTATGGGCCAGGCTTTCCTCTTTCTTGTATGCCTGGTAATCTTTATTGGATGCCAGACACTGAATTTTACCTTGATGTGTGCTAAATATTTTCTTTTTCCTATAAATATACTTGAGCTTTATTTTGGGAGGCAGTTACTTGAAAATAGTTCTGTGCTTTTGGGTCTTTGTTTTTAAGATGTTGTATCACATGAGTGATATTTAGGACTAATCTTGACACTACTAAGACAAGAGCCTTCTTAGTACAGTTAACTCTTAAACAACACAGGTTTGAACTATGAGGGTTCACTGATACGTGGATTATTTTTCAACAGTAAACACTACAGTATTATATAATTTGCAGTTGGTTGAATCAGTGGAAGAAGTACTGCAGATAGAGAGGAAAAGGGTATACAGAGGGTTGACTATAAGTTATATGTGGATTTTAAGTAGTGCAAAGGGTTGGTGCCCCTAACCCCTGAGTTGTTCCAAGAATCAACTGTACTCTACCCAAAGCCTCGTGAATTATGAGGTTTTCTAGTCCAGTTGGTAAAGGTATAT